TTCTCCTGAAAACTACACTTATAAGTTATTAGTATGGTAAATGCAGCCCCTAAAAACACTTTTGTGTAAAGTTGCATTGCACTGAGTTTATTAGTTTATTTAGACGCACAGTTTTAGGCCCCAATAGAACTCGAAAGCACCCTATTGGTTATGTAAATAGTAAAACGGTGACGGCGCAAAAACGCTCCATGTTTCGGAATTTCTATTTTACGGGCGAAGCTCCTTAGGGGCTAGCCATGTCCGTACGTCTGTCCGATGTCCGGCGTCGGGTCCTCGTGCTCACGAGCACGTGAGCACGTGCTCCCGCGCTCGTGTAGAGCAAAAAAAAAACGCATCTCCACGTGGTGAATGATGTTGATTCGGACGAAGCTCTGGTGGTGCTTGTCTGCGTAGACTGTGAGCCGCAGCATGCCGAGCCTTTCGTTCGTTTTCATCCATGTCAGAAAGAGAATGTGTGGTATGGAACGCGGTTATATGCGCATTTGAGCATTTGACCGCAGCGTGACACGGATGAAAACAAACGGAAGGCTCGGCATGCTGCGGCTCAGCGTCTACGCAGACGCTGAGCCGAATCAACATCATTCACCACGTGGAGATGCGGTTTTTTTTTTTTTTTTTTCATCGTCCGCTTATTTTCGTGAACTCGTCTCTCTTGCTCTCTCTATCTCCCTCTCTCTCTCTCAAGTTTTATTTGTTTGGAAAGCTTTATTGTCCAAGCACTTCAGTGACGCTGCCCCCGCAAATAATTAAATACATGCCCCGAATCACTGCCATGAGACTTTGAATACTATTATTGTGTGACTGAGCACTTGTGTTAACTTCCGCGTTAACTCTCACTTTATGTCAACCTATGCGCCGAGAAATTGAGGAAGAGGCGAGAGCGCGCAGTTATCTTTGCTTCGTTGCCTCTCGCCACGATACCAAGCTTGGAAGGGACACGTGACCTAAAAATAGCATTTTCACGACTTTCCTCGATTTTTACACCGAAAGTTAGTCGACTCCTTAATTTTACCTGATTGGCTCTTGATTTTAGGTGGGCTATCTCTCGGTATATTAAGGTAGTATTTTTTTTATCGCAGTCTTTACGACCTAACAATCTGAAATTATCACTTTTTCGTATTGACGTTGCCTCTCCCTGTTAGACGATGGAACAAAGGTTGAAGTTTCCTGAAGTACTCATTAACATTGATCCCACCCGTGGGGGAAGCCTTCTTATCGGTGTCATATTACCTATTGCGCATTTAGTTTAAGAGATCTCGCGAGAAACGGGGATAAAAGGGGGGGGGGGGGGGTGCAGAAAGGCATTTAATGGACTAGAACACGTATACATTTCGTGTAACAACCATTTTTTGGGAGTAATTATAAAGCTCCAACAAGCATGATGTCCCTTAAATGTGAACTCGTAATGTCTTTATTATCCCGGTTAATCCAACCTCGCAGAGTTCGAAATGGCGGACATCCCCGGCATCGCGCATTCGTGCTCGCCATCTCAATGATGCGTCGTTTCGTTCCTTTATATGTATACGTACTCTTCCAACTTCATAACGACTGGGAGCGAAGTGATTAGCTGATTGAGGTAACTTTGGAGGGATGTTCTCCTGCATTCGACCTTAGATATCAACACGCCGTATTACTCTGGTATTCGTGATTTTGTTTTTAATTTTGTTTCTGATCACTCGATGTACACGTAACGTAGGATGCCGTTTAAATTGAGCGCTATTTACAGCTAAGGCTCTCTCTCTCTCTCTCTCTCTCTCTCTCTCTCTCTCTCTCTCTCTCCAACTAATTTACACAAGCTGTGTTATCTTCGTTGAACCTTTATATATCATTGGCCGAATTGGCTTTACCTATACGATTACAGGCCAGTAATCACACTAGGATGTGCAGTGCTACGCAGCTATTTTATCAAATTACATTAACATGGCTAATCATTCGCAGCTTTTCGGACACAAATAAGCACCCTAAATGAGCGCCCCAACTCAATCTCCCTCTTTTCTTTTTCTTCTTTTTTTTTTTTCAGCGCTGTGTGGGAGAAGCGAGATGAAACGCGGACCTTTAAGACACTCCCCTTTCTTGCACCTTGCTGAAAAAGCCGTAGTGCTGAATTTGCTACGTCACGGCTTGAGCTCGCGTTCAGTCACTCAGCACACGAGTTCGAATGGCACTCTAACGCGGCACTGGTGTCCAGTGCCTGACCCGCGTGCGGTAGAGAACTCAGCAGCACAACGTTCTGTCTCGTTCGTTATGCTCGCGCGTCTCTACCCCTGATATCACTGCGCAACTTGGGAGACGGACTCTACGCAACGCTACACTGACTCCGCGCACGTCCCCAAGTCATCATACACCAGTGTACAAATCCCGGACTTCTAGGGATGATATACACACAGACGCCTTGCGCGCATGAAAAGAATAATACTCGTAATCTGAGAATCCGCGGCTTTTCTCCCCACGACCGTACTTGTCATCGTAAACACGTCGCTGCCGTAAGAACACGAAAAAGAGATCGAAAACAAGCACCGAAACAGGAGCCGCCCCCCTCTCCCCGCGGCTCTCGCCGTGTTCCTGTCATCTTTCACGGGCTCGCTCACGCACCATCCCTCGTTCCGCGATAGAGAGAAGAGGCAGTGATAGAGGTAGAAAGCGAGCGAGGGACCAGCTCGACCCCCCGCGCTATTTATTACTCTTTGGAGGCAATTTAATATGATTTGGGAGCGCGCCGGGAGTGCGTAAATTTAATTTCGGGACAGCTGCACACTCCCTCTCCCTCTCTTTTTTTTATTCTTCCTCCTCTCTCTTCATCCAACACGTTCCTTCTCTCTCTCTCTCTTTGTCTCGCCTTTCCATGTGCTTTTTTTATATTTCGTGGCTGGAGCACGTCGTTCATTCTTCCAGCTCCGTTTCACGCCATGCACTATTTCCTCACGCGGACGCTGTGTACTTGGTTTCACCTTACCATGGAGCGCAGCGGTCGCAACCAGCCACCTCACCCAACCCGCTGCTGTGAACCTACCCCGCGCGCGTTGCTGTGCCCCTTTCGAAGGTCACGTGATACTGATACGGCATGGGATTGGCTGGGATAGCTCTAAGCGTCCGCTGCGGTCCATGGTAAGGTAAAACGTGGTATAGCGGCTGCACGCGCATTGACACACACGCCCTGCCTGGTGTGAATGGGAGGATAGTGTGGAGCGCAGAGTACGGCGCATACTACCACATTTTGGTTGAAACAAAACGCGATTCCCTTGGCGTCTGCTTCACTACTCACCCTAGCTGCGGAGAAAACTAAAAAATATATTCGAACAACATTTAATCCTCACATTTCATGTTTGAGCAGATGTAACGGTTCAGCGTCACTCTTCTAGTGCAACTTTCTGACTATAATATAATGCGTCCGAGGGGCCCGTTGGTGTAAGATCAAAACGTTTTGTAGGACGAAAGCAGAAATGAATAATGCCGACACGAGGTTTTCAACGATTTGTTCGAGCCTCGGGACTTCTTTTGGGATATCTTTTGCTGGCGTCTTGTGATGTCGCGAGACTTCACGTTGGCAACATCTCACTCGAGGCGTGCGAAAGCAATCGTCATCGCTAGGCGTTTCTTAACCGACCGTCTGCCACTCATACCCTTGGACGCTCTGACGTCACTTCACTGGCGGTCACGTGACTTCTGTCGCCCGATTGGGAACGACCCCCCAGCAGAGTCGGAATAACGCGGGGTCTCAAAGGCAGTTGAGGGGACGACCCGGGGACGCAGACGACGTGTTTAGCTACCGCGCATGCGTCCGCGGTGGAAGGAAAAGTGGAGGGGAAGTCGGGGCGGTGTTCAATTAGCATAATCAACGTTCCCGGGCGCACGCAGCTCATATCCCCGCGCGAGCGATCGTGTGATCACCGACGCCGCTAGGGGGGGTCACATGGTACGGCGCTGCCCGCTGCTCATTAGCGGCGGCTCGCGCCGTGCGTTGCTGGAGCACTGCCGAGAAGGAATCTTCACTTTCGGTTGTTGTGCATTCTTTTTTTCCTTCTTTTTTCGGTCGTTATTGACGTGGATTCACAGCGGATCTCAGGGTGTGTTCCGTGGAGGGTCGTGGCGCGCTAAAACGGACGGGAGATGCTTCCCGATAAATTTAAGCGGGAATCAGTGTTCCGTGGCGTCACAGTTAACTGCTAAACTTAACGGAAAACGGTTCACGTGACGCCACAGTGTTAGGTTATGTCACCATTTCTTCGCTAAATCTATCAAGGAGCGTTTGTCCGCTTACTTTAGCGGGAAGTTGTGACGTCACGTGACGCCAGGAATGCAGCAGAATGTGCAGCGCGTCGGCTTTCGCCGCAGCTCATTGGCAGGACACCGCAAGGAACCGGCAGTCATTTTGCTTGTACGCGGGGAAGTTAGGAAAGCGACAGACGAACGGCGCATGGTGGAAGCTCGAAATCATAGCGATTTGAAACCAACACCGTCAAAATTGAAGTTCTAAACAATCCTCTTATTTCTGTCAATGAGAAATCCTTTGCTGACGTCATAGTCAGCATTCGGCCAATCCTCGAAGGCCGACCACAGCGACGCTTTCGATCGCGCACGTCGCTAATACCCGCGGACAACTTTCTGCGGCTATGCAGTCAAAGTTACGGGCCCACGTGCGATTCCGCGCTTTGAGCGCCCATCGGAACCGTGCGCGCGCGCTCTTCACTTCCTCTGAAATGCTACAGAAAGTTGTCCACTAGTAGATTTGGCCCGCGCCGATTGCTGTGCAACACTTTATGGTACCACCAAGTTTCACTCGTGTCACACGTGCCACTCGAACACTGTTTCAGCTAAGATCATTTGAGATAACTGTGAGCGTTCGCATGCCGCGTGTAAACCAAAGATCGCGGGGCCTTCGTTGATTCGCCGAGGCCTGAACGCGCATTCATCTAAATTCTATTTAAGTTCTTGGTGACCTCTCGTGACAAAAGTTGGTTCGTTTCCGCTCATCCGCCTTCTGTTCCGCTGTCTCCCGGCAGGAGGTGTACTGCGGCAAGGAGACGCTGTGCACGGTGGACGGCCTGCACTTCAACAGCGCGTACAGGGCCCGGGTCAAGGCCTACAACACCACGGGGGAGGGACCCTACAGTGACGTCATCGTTCTCCACACGGCGGAAGGTGGGTCTGCCTCCCGCTGCTCCTTTGCAACCTTTCTCGTCCGTGCTTAGAAGGGAAGGGTTACCCACAGTAAAAGCCGGTTCACACAGGGGCGTTTTTTCTACGTAACGACCGCTTACGTCGCAATTCACCGGGACATCTGTGCTTCGAATGAAGCGTGGCGACCGGTTCAAGAAGCAGCTTTGCACGCAACATACGAAACACCAATGTCCCGGTGACTCCCCACGTAACGTAAACAATTGTAAGCAAACGCACCTGTGTGAACCGACCTTTAAGGCCGGTTCACACAGCCCCGTTTTCTTAGGTTACTTATAAGTTACCGAAGCATTCGTGTCTCGAATGTCGCGTGCCAGGCTATCTATCTCCTTAAACTGGTAGCCGCGCCTAATACGCAACGTAACGTGAGAAAACGGGGCTGTGTGAACCGGCCTTAAAGGCCCATTCACACAGGAGCGTTTACTTGCGTTTTCTTAGGTTACGTTATAGGTCACCGAAATATCCGTGCCCCAAATGTCGCGTGAAAGGTTTCTCCTTGAACTAACTGCCACGCTTCATAAGAAACACATATGTCCCGGTGTCTGTCTACGTAAGCAGACGTGAGCTCTCGCAACACAACGCAACGTGAAGGCTGGTTCACATAGCCCCGTTTTCTCACGTTACGAAGGCTTACGCCTGCTTATGTAACGAGGCACCTTGACATCCGTGCTTCGCATGAAGCTTCGTAACCAAATGAAGGAGCAGCTTTGCCCGCGACCACGGTGGAAGAAATACATTTAGGTGGTGACTCTGGCCGCTCTTCACGCGGGGAGCGAGCGGCCAGATCGTGTTCGGAGCTAGCCTCGAACAAGGAGTATACTCTGTTTCATTTTATGATGTACCGCAGGAAAGGCTACAAGCGCGAGCTCCTTGCTCTGGGGCACATCCCGGCGGCACAAGCTCTCGTGACTTAAGAGCGGCTGCCAACGCTATGAGCTCGCAATTCTAGCCTTCGCTGCGGTGCAACATAAGGTGAAACGAGGTGTAGTTGTTACGTGCCGCCGCGGAGGGCGCTGAGGGGTGAGCACCGTGGGTATAAGGTCTCTCCTTGGCGGCCACGGTGTCGGGGGCGTAGCTGGCTCGCCTTTTTCGCGGTGTGGTGGTGATGTGCGGTCAGTGGCTGGCTTCATGTTTTGCTTTGGTGCTGTGTCGATCACCGGTGCCACCATCGTGCACGAAGATGAGCCTTAACTCGAAGAAGAAGTTATGCTATGAGGATGGGAAAGACGTGCTTCGTTCTCAAGTGCAATTCGGGGTACCGGAGCTGCGCAGAGCGAGTGTCCTTGTTTAAAGCTCCATCGAATGGCGCTCGCCTAGAGCAATGGCGTCGTGCATTCCCGAGGGCCGATCGCAAGTTATTACCTAGTTTCCACATCTCGTTGACCAAGTGAAGACCAAGCTTGGCAGTCTAATTTCTGTCGAAGACTGGGAATGCGAAGATGTCTGGAGAGAAAAGGCTCAAGAAACCAAGGCTGTGGACTGCATGCTATCTTATGTAACTGGGTTTTTGAGCGTGAAAATAAAAAAAAAAAAGCTACACGCTGCCCTGCATGCCGATCAGCTTTCAGCATCGACAAGAACACCTCTACTGAAGCAGCCCTGACAAACGTGAAAAACAGAGGAAGCTTTATACACCCCAACAATAACCTTTTCCAGCTACTGAAGAAAGCGGAACAGTTCGTCGTAAAAAATAAAAGCCACCAGACTGTCTACTGGGACACAATCGACAGTGTTCTTGACACATGCACAATAACGTTTCCATGCGCTGAACACAAAGAAGAAACAACTGCCCAGCTGCTCCACTACTACTTCAGCACGCGAATGCGACAACACTGTAAGCATATTACGATGAGTATAAACAAACAAGCTCAATAAGTAAAGAAATCTGCAAAGCAGCGCTCTTCTTAGTTTAAGGGCATGGGCGAGAACACAGGATGTAGGAGGTGGCGGTTTTCGGTAGTATGCAGTGAATTCAGCCTTATGTGCATTTTGAAGCAAAAATACTTGTCAGGTATTTCTTTACCTGTAAGACGGGGTGCCACCATATTGTGAGAGTATAGATGAAAAGTGATTTATGTCTTATAACCTCTAATATTGTTTGACTTTCAGTCACTGTGTCATCATGTCAATCAGTATGTCATCATACTGTGTCATCGTTTCAGTCACTATGTCATCATAAATAGAATCTTTTCCTGCTCACAAGGTTTGTATGTTCCGTGTTGTTTTTATGTATAAACCATTTGTAACGCTAAAACTTTTATGCGCAGGTAAAGAATTATTTAGGCCCCACTCTGTAACATTATTAGAACTTTTTTTTTTCAATAAGGCAGGAGCAGGGGGGAAAAATCACCCGACCTCATATAAAGCCACGCAATGTGTGTAAATAAGTTACGGAACTGTTACCAAAGATGTTGATTGACAAAACATGCGAGTACGACCCAGGTGTTTACTCTAAATTATTGAAGGCCCAGTAGATTATGCCAGGAAGTTTTATATTTATACGAGTATTTTTGTCACGTTGAGTCATCATCAGAATGTTCTCGTTTAAAAAAAAAAACAGCAACCGCACGGGGAAAAGGCAGTCAGTTCCAATGCGCCAACATAAATCCATCATTTCACAAAAAGTACACAGGGACCGAGTAAAGATTGCATAATTTCCTTCACAAGCCCTCTATAAAAGCCTTCACAATTAAGCCCCTCTATACGTGGGCGCCATCTATCCCCGTGCGAGTGAAGCGCGCTCGGTGCGCCGAACATAATGTGGTCGCCGCGCGAGACAGTCATCACCTAAATGTATTTCTTCCACCGTGCCCGCGACAGACGAAGCGGATGTCTTCGTGACTCTTAACGTCACATAAGAAAACGTAAGCGAGCGACCTTAAAGGCTGGGGTGCTATGTTGCGCTTTTTGGACTCCCAGGAGACTAGGGAGAAGGAAGTGACGTCAACGACTAGAGCAAACGCAGATTGGATGTTGACTGAAGAAAACGAAATCAACACCCAATCTGCGTTTGCTGCGTTGTTGACGTCACTTCCTTCTTCCAAGTCTCCTGGGAGTCCGAAAAGCGCAACATAGCACCCCTGGTTCACACTAAGGTGCCTCAATGTCCTTTTGTTTAGACTGATGCCATCCTTTGAGGGTACACTATGCGGACAGCACGCGCTCACGGGGAAAATACAAAGAAATCGTCGAAAGCAAAAGGAGATAGCCTGGCACGCGACAATCGAGACACGGATGTTTCTGTGACTCATGCGTAGTGTAAGAAAACGGTGCTGTGTCAATTAGGCCCTCGACTCATAGAAGCTCTGTGTAATGATATCCTCTACCCTAGAAGTAGAGTTTGGGGAAATACATAACAGCAGTCAATCAATCGCTTTCTTTCTTCGCCTGATAGGTAATTTTGTTTTTTCTTGGGGGAGGGGGAGGGGGGTTTGCTTGACAAATCCTCTACGGTCCCCCCCCCCCTTTTTTTTTTAAAGAAATAGCAAACAGAATAAATGTATCCTAATCCTGCTGACAAAGTCAGGAAGCGGCGCGCAGCGGAAGGACGCGTACGTTCTTCCCTTTATAATTCATTAACGACCTGTATTATATTCAGCGGCAGTGTAACGGTTTTTCGTGACACTCATCTCATGGAAGCCATCGCTATAATACTCTGTGTTAGAAAAAAACAGTGACACTGTTACTTCGTGGGCTGAAATTGTAAGAACGCATTCATTGCTTTACCGATTCAGAATGTTAGGTTGTTCTAACGTGTATTACAAAAATTACCCTAACAGCCCATTTCGGTCGCGGCTCGCATAACGTATACTTTGACACTATGCTACCGGGAGCGCGTGTCCGACCGGTGCGTTTTCCGCGTCCTCAAATGTGGTCCCTCGATTTCTGCCTGATGACGTCATAGACGTGTCGTGCTACTGCCTGCCACGACCCTGGCGGTGACACGGCAGCGTAGGTAAATGCGGAAGACGCCTGTTCCGCTGCAGGACGCTTTCCAGCTTGGCAGTCACCCGGAAACGTCAACACCCAAGAGCTGGAACATCGTGACGGCAACGACGCTTCCGTTGGTTCTCTTTTTTTTTTTCACAACTTTTACTATTAACCGCCAAGATCGGGACATCCGAGAGCGTGACACTCTTGTTATTGTGACGTCATCTGTTGCCACTTCGATGGGTGGGCGGAAAGGGACGCTAAACGTACCGGTCGGAGACGCGTTCCAGCCAGCGTACTGACGCTGCGCTCGTTCAGTGATCTCGAAAACGGGACAGAGTTCGAGTCTTTCTCTTATGATGCGGTGTCTTTCAGTGGCCTGGTTCGCGCTGGACCCCGGCTCGTGTCATCCGGACGTGGTGCTCTCCGACGAGAACGTGACCGCCCGCTGCGAGAGCTACGAGCACCGCGTCGTGCTCGGCTCCCTGGGGTTCTCGCGCGGGGTCCACTACTGGGAGGCCACAGTGGACCGCTGCGACAACGACGCCGACGTCGTGCTCGGGGTCGCCCGAGGAGACGTCGCCAAGGACGTCATGCTGGGTACGTCTTCTCGTGCCTCGTGCGCTCGGACCCGGCGCCCTTCGGTGGTTTACCTTCACGGGTTTCATCCATACTCGATTCGGGACTGCATTCGCTCGGGTCTTTGAGTAGATCGTTCCGATGCCCGATGAGGAAACGACGCATGCGCAAAGGCGTCGCCGGAGTATCCGGTATCGCTATCGGAGTTTTCTAAACGACCTACTAAAGATCCTTAGTAGATCGGTACGTTCCTGCCATCGCTTTTTCATATATTTGTCGTATATATGCAAAAAAAAAAATATTTTTTTTGCAGTGGTAGTTTTTAGTGGGTTTTCACAGCAAAAAAAACTGTTCATGTACGATCGCAAAACTTCACTCTACAGTAGTAGCGCTGCTCTCCCTCTTACCGTCTTTCCTTACACATACACGCCAATTGCGGCAAGGCTCTCTCTCGCTTCCCCCCCCCCCCTTTCCCCCTGTACCCTGTAGGCTGCCGCAGTTTCTAAAAAAAAAAAAACACAAAAAAACATGTGATCACGGGGAGGGTGCTCTCTGCTCCCGTCGTTCCTGCTACATCCACGTACCGTCCGGCGACGCTCTCCAACCCCTCCGCCCCCCTCCCTTTCCTCCTTCCGACAGCCGCCGTTGCGAAATACCCACGTTGTCGCGTTGTGCAGACACGCTCCTTCGGCTCCCCACTGCCGCTACCCAGGTTCCGTTATCGTGCGTTCTTCGCGTCTATACAGAACAGCTCGCGTACATACTTTCGCTTCTTACACCGCAGGCGCGGTCGCCTTCAATCTGAAAAAGCTTTTCAGCCAAATAAAAAAAAAGGTGTCTTCCTTTCCTTTTTTAACACATGCAACATATCGCCCAATTGCTCCACCAAAGCACACATCTCCTCACACACGGCTTCTACAACAAATTCACTTAAAAAAAAAAAAAAAAAAGTTCGTTGCAGACAATGTACAGCGCAATGACTGAAGGCAAATCTCCTTGAATATGCCTTTCCACAATACAGCAGCGTCCGCTGTCAATCGCAGCACGCTTTGTGTGTTCGTTTGCAATTTTGTTAGTCGCTCCAAAATTAAAATAATAATAATAATAAACTCGCATTTGTGTTTTATAAACCCAAGGTCAAGTTGCTGGCCATAGCGGCCACTAGAAAATAGGTGAATTGGTTAATTTGTTAGCTTATTAACTAAAACGTTTCAAATGCCTTTCTATTCTTTAAGGCATAATGTACATGGGCGAATGACGCTCGGCCTCATTATTGAGTATATATCAGTATTGCAGTCGAGCGTGCCGTGAAATTTTCATGGAAAGGTTCGGTATGGGCGCCACGGAGCAAGAAATGTCACCATTGTGTATGCGTTTAAAACAAAACTACTAGGCCAAACCGCACGGGCCAAGTATCCTATTTGCAGTGGGGACACGAAAGGCTATTTTGAGGTAAGCCAAGTTTCTCCTGTGTAAACCTCCCTAAGACATATTTTAGCGAGAGAGAGAGAGCGAGAGAGAGAAATATAAATGATATGTTGTTAAGTGTATGGGGGCCCCACAAATATGACTTCATATAACATTGCATCGGAACCTGAACGGAAAGCGTGCTTCGCCGCATCGAGTGTCTGCCTGCGGGGAAGCCTACCCAGGTTTGTCGCAGGTTGACCTACCTGACGGACGCGTTATCGCAAGCGTCTCGTTGCGTGCTGTTTTAAATGCGTAGCATTTATGGAACAAGCCCTAGAGATGCTGTATCCGCGGATGTAGCTCACGTCACCCCAGAGGTTCTCTAAACGCATAGTATGTAGGGGTCTTCTGTCACATCACGTGACAGTGACGTCACATGACACTGGGACGTCACGTGCCACGGACGTTACGTAAGATCATGATGTCACGTGGCACTATGACGTTACGTAACACTGCGACGTCACGTGACGCTGTGGCGTTCTGTGACACTGTCACGTCAGCCACCACAATGGCAGCTGATATGGCTTGGATAGACGCACCCTTGAGCCCTAGGCATGCGCTCTCTTCCAGGCAAAGACGACAAGGGCTGGAGCATGTACATCGACCACCAGCGGTCCTGGTTCCTGCACGCGGACCGCCACGAACACCGCGTGGATGGCGGCGTCGAGCGCGGTGCCGTGCTGGGCGTCCTGCTCGACCTCGAGCGCCGCCAGCTCAGCTTCTACGTCAACGACGAGCGGCAGGGACCGTGTGTCGTTCTCGGACCCCCGATCCAGGGCCCCGGCGCCGCGCTCTTCCCGGCCTTCAGCCTGAACCGCAACGTGCAGCTCACCGTGCACACGGCGCTAGACCCGCCGGCGTCGTCCAGTGACGACAGTGACGACGACGTCAACGAACCGGCACCAAAGACAATGACGGCGGCGAACTCTCCGTCGGTCGAAATAGACTTGCCTCTCCCTCCACCCATGGTGTGAGGGAGACCTCGAAACTGTACTTTTTTAAGATTATTATTATTATTATTATTTGGTGTCTGGTGTTTTCTGAGTGATAGGTGAGGTGCCCGGTCATCTGTGTCTTCACGTCTCTTGATGTGGAGATGGCGTGCGTCATGACGCTACGAACTTCCTAATTACTTCCGAGTGTTTTAGCGGGTCAAAACGAGTACTCCATAGAGAAGAGCTATCCCTGCTGCAAGAGTGCAAACTTACGTATGCCCAGGCAAAGAGTTAATAACCCCACTATGAATGTGACCTCTCATTTCGAGGGCTCCAATTTTACTGGTGAAGGTTGCAGAACCTGAACCACTCTTTCATACAAGGGGCATATGAACGAGTCTTTGAGTAGACATAGTGTTTAACAACCTGACAGACAGAATAGCTTACGAAATGCACCGAGAAGTTGGAAAAGACACTCTAAGAGTGGAATGGTTAGCTCCTTGCCTGACTGTACCTCGCAGTCTCAATATCGCGATGAGGTGGGCTCTCGTTTTGAAATGAAACCTGTGGCCTGCCATATTTGTTCAATTGAGCCCTGCACATTCTCGCCATCTTTACGGGCCACCAGTGTTTTGTTTTTGGTGTGTAAATGACTCTGTGGTTTCAGTTTTACCCATCTTTAATATAGAATGTTTCTTTACTTGTCTGTCTTCTGGAGAACTGGGGGCATGTACAGATTTAAGCACCTATGGCTTCGTGTGTTTGCCTTCTTGCTGGGTTCGAGAAGGTCACAACTATACTCATGTGACGTGCTTGAGGAAATGAAGTAAGGACTAAAAAAACTTAACAACGTGACTGGTCGAAAATTCAAGAGAAATTCAGCCAGGGAAGTCTCAGAATGTGCAAATTCTTAAGGCTAGTTTACACATTCACATTTTATTGTGGCCGAGTACATTGTGACTGTTTGTAACCGGTTGCTTATGGCGAGAGAATGTATATCACGTTGCCCTCGAACTGCATACACCTTGGCTAAAGATTTTGCATTGTCATAACATCGTCATAAGTACATAAAGCCCGTGGTGAACGAATGACACATAAATAAATTATTAAATATGTGCAGATCAGAACTTTTCCAGACTTTGCCAATAGATGGCGCCAGTCCGTGGCGTAAGCACCGGGGGCTCTCAATGTAGTTCCAACGCATTCGGTTGCACTCAAGCTAAAATGTGTGAGCCATCCTTTAGAAAGCACAGTGAATGTGTGCATCCCATTGTGGCTAATTGAAATTTTAAATAAAGCGCCGTTTTCACACAGCTGAGCCGAGAACAAGGTTTAATTTTGGTTAAGAGTTTTTCATTTTTTTTATTTTAATTGAGGACTTCAGCCTCTTCATCTTAATCGCCAATTGTGTAGTCTTTCGTTCACTACTATGTCGGCTATTCCACCTGACATAGTAAGAAATCTTGTAACTGGCTATTAAGGGAAACTAAAGTGGTTTTGTATTTGGGAAAGCAAACACTTGGTTGTCGTGTATTTGGCATCCAGAAACCGAAATGTCATAATGATTTTGCTGCTTGAAGTGGGCATTAGGCAGAAAAACGTTTTGGAAAGAGCTAAAACCACTTCTTTTCGGGTAGACCTCATACCGCAGTGAATTAACTTTGCAGTCTGCCACACTTTTTTTGCTGTTTTCTTTTGTGAACATATTCAGCAGAGACAACTTTTGGATTTGAAGATACTAGATAAAAATATGTCAGCATTCTTAACAACAGTTATTTTCTTATTCAAAAACGTATGAAACTCGTCCTTAAATTCTACAATTGGTATTGGCATGAGGAAAGCTTTGTTTAGGATGCTCAAAGAGTGTCATTATTATTGCTTTTACAAGGGAGCAGACACAAGAACTAAATCATAAATGCTCAAACATTAGCCAACTTCAAGAATGTTGCACATGAGTGGTGGGGCATCAACAAGAATATCCACTATCATACATATTTTTTATGAACCATACTTCTATCTTGAAGCATAGTGCAATGTATTAGTATACTCTTCAAAATATGAGACCAAACATAGAAACCTAACAGATTAACAGATTAGACTTGAAATTAGTCCGAAGACCAGTGTAGATTTTGCAAACTTGCGGAGATCTTTTTGCAGACATCGACTTAACAGAAATGCCACATATCCCTGTCATATTTTTGCAAAACCAGGCTTGCTGCCTGTATGTACATTGTCTTGATGCATGTTTCACCTTCTTTATGTTTTTGTCCTCTAAGGGAGTGCACATGAAACTAAGCAGAAGGAGCATTCTCAAGTTGAATATTTGAACACACTTTATGCGTATCAACAAAGATCATAAAATAATGTGTCCAGAATAATTGTTTGTAATCTATAATGAAGATTACTGTTTTTTTTGCGTGCTTTATTTTGTGACAGTGACAGTGAACACCCACCTAGTAATCTGCGCCAGCATTCTTAGCTTCGCAGAGCTTTCACAAAGAATGGCGGAAACCTCTCCAGACCGGAAACGTTCGAGAACCACAATACACTAACAACGAGATATTTAAAATGTGAATTTTAAGAGACTAAAAATCATATCAAGCCCCCCCCCCCCCCCCCCCCCCCACCCCCACCCCACCCCACCCCACTCAAGCCCTTCTGGTTTTGCAATGTAAAAAAAATCAATCAACTACCAACTTGAGCCAAAGCTAGCAAGTTCGAGTGGCTATAGCTATCTTTTCAAGTTGCTCCCGGAGGGATATTGGGAACAAAGAAAGTAATACACTGGAGCTCGGGAAACTAGTCAAATGGGAGTGGTAGCAAAGGAAAGCTTTCATAAGAGTCTGCGGTATTCTTCCAAGGTAAGCTTGCAGCAAGCTCCAAACATTGCTTTAAAAGCAGTTGCTGCTGTGCAAGGTTGATCTCCCTCATTACTGAAGTTCGTCAAGAGCTTCACCATATCACTTTGACAGGTCTTGTTGTAAAGACTACAGTGCTCTTGCATTAATCTCTTGCAGCTGTTTTATGGTTTTACTCTTTTGGTTCTAGTGTTTTATATTGAAAGCAATTATTTATGGCAGGTTTGAGTCTTGTTCCGAGTGACTGCAGCATAATATAGTTCTTTGACCTGCCACATGTTTTGCTGTTTTAGGTACAATTTCATGTGAACTGTAGGACATCAAACTACTCAGCTGTTCCCTATCTGTTGCTTCTATTGTTCCACATCCGACAACACCAACTATTCAAAACTTCATTCCTGCCAAACTGTAGAGCTCCAGGCTTGTACAATTTTATGATATGAACTGGCACACTACATGATCAAACTGGTTTACTTGTTCGAGAAAATAATGATAAAAGCCCTTTGAGTAAGGGAAAGAAGGGTGCCAGGACACCAAGTCTTTTTTTTTTTTTTCATCACTGTATTATAATCTTGACCAAAAACAAACTGCTCATTGGTCAGTGAAACTGACCAGTAAGCCTACCAAGATACATATCCCACACCACTCTGACATATCGAGCTGGTTGTTACATTTTTTACACTATGGGATGCATGAATCCTGATTTGTATGGAAGAGAAAGCCCTTGCTAGAAGGGTTGTACATGTTATTAGCAGTTTCGCTTGATTACTATGTCTGGTGCATTTTTTTTTTTCTTGTTTTGGCGCTTCATGTACATTCACTACGTTTTGTGTAGACTCGCCAAACCTTTCTGTATCTAGAGCGAAACATTTTGACGAACATTACAAATGCTTTCTTCGCGAACATCTGCTAAGCAACCAACTAAGCAAATGCAGCCTGGGTTTAGAATTAAGCTTGCGTTTAATACATTTCGATCGTGTCCTACAGCGTACCATAGTCACTTTTGGTCTCTAAAGTGTTTAAGGCAGAGTCTGTTTCACCAGAATGGACTTCTGTTTTTCTCGAAGTCAAACCTGTTTTGTAAAGATGGTGATTTCTTTTTGTATGAGCCTGTGTATGATACATGTGCCTCTAAACATCAAGTGTTCTTGAAGCTTGAAAACCGGTTTTGCAGATTCATTATTGTATTTCAAAGACAGAGTTGCTTTTGTAGTGCTCGAATACTAATTTATTCCACCTTATCCCGGAGCATATGTAGATCGAAGGTATTAATGTATTGGTGTTGTTTCCTGAGTTTCTTCTTTGAAAAAAGGTGAATTCATAAACACTACATTGTCTGTTTTTATTATTATTATTGCAAAAAGCACGAGCGCCACTTCTGTTGCAAGTTGAAATGCGAGAATCATGTGTTTCGTGGTTGTACATAGCAGGTAGATATTCTTTAAATGTTCGATTGTAGCATAGACCGAGTGTAGTGTAGCATCAACTTTTCTTCGACAGTGCGGTTTTACCATTTCTTCACACTTTTATGTAGTGCAGGCGTATGTTTGATGATCAAATAAAAGGTTCCCCCCTATGTCGTATTTGACTCGAATTGCTACTTTTTCACGAAAAAGAAATAGTCTAATACTAATTCCAACCTGAAAAAAAAAAAAGAACATATGCGGAGCGCATGCTTGTCTGCTTTTTTTTGCATGGGTTGGGTGCGGCACATCCCGCGAGTGCCTCGTCCCCTAATCCGGGCATGCGCGCGACATGGAAAGGAGGACGCCACATAATAACTATCCGCTTCACAAGCCTCCCTCTTTCTCTCTTGTGACAGTTGAGCGACGGGCTCAGTGTCGTAGGTCGTGGGTTCGACTCTCCTGGGCGACATTCGAAATGTTGTTCCTTCTCAATTTATCAACTTATCACACCTTCCGCGCATCGGCATGCGAAGCCACAGATTATTTTTTTTTTTTTTTCGGGTGAGGCCGCCTAACAGAAGTGATTGAAAAATAAGGCGTGGTTCCATTTAACCCTCCCCCATTAAACGGTCAGCTTGGTCGCGCGGACGAATTATTGTCTTACATAAAAAATAACATCAGAAAATCACAGAATCGAACATTAAACTCGCGCTGTTGGTGCAATGATTATTACTTTTTTCGTACGTTTAGCCATGAAAGCATGCTGCTGTCTCGTGGCGCTTCCTCACTTGCGCTTTATGAGAAACAAAATTTTGTTTTTTGGAAGCGGCTGATGAAACACGTCAGAATGACTGTGTAATTTGAGTTTAACATACGAGTTCTCTGCTTCCACCGGGTACACAAATCACGCTCAGTAAATGCCCCATCACCCGGCCTGAGCGTTTTTTTTTTTTTTTTCTTCTTCTTTCCGTGATTGGTTTAGATGGTGGTAGGAAACGCACAAAGACGAAGTCTGTGTTCCAAATCTTACTTAAATAGATCTGATTTACTCCGGCGGGTCATGTCACGTGACAACACAGATTGAAAAACGCTGTACGCGGGTAGGTTTTAGAACGCCAAGGTACAAAACTCTTACCCTAGAGTAAGATGGAGTAAATTTTGGAACACGGCCGAAGAGTGCCTTGACGATGCACCTTTGGCGCTGCTTGATTGGCTCCATCGGATTGTAGCTTTGTGTGCGATTGCAGACCGACGGATGGCTGGATGCGACTGAACCCTTTGAATCAGGCGGCGACTTGTGCCACCTAGCCAGTGTATTCTTTATTTTTTTTTTCTTGACATTTATAAACCCTTTAAATAAAAAATTAAAAGCGTTTACAATTTCTTGTAACGCCGATTCAGAGCGCAGCTCTTGAGGAGGAGGGGAGGGTATGCCCGTTATCCTCATCCCTACTCTCTCCTCCACCCTCCTCCTTCTTTCACACGGGAAACGCGCGTCGTCACGGGATGGTTCGGCGCGGTGCATTATGGGACGTTTCCCATAATGCACCGCGCGGTTACGCCGACGCCGCTCAAGCCGGAAACGGGCGCTTATGAGCTGCGCTCTAAAAGAGCGCTATCTGTCGCAAGGAGAGGCAACTCGCACCCTACGCCAAGTTGAAGGATACCGCGCCGCTCAGGTCAGTCTGCGCACGTTCGCGTTTTGTTGAGCAAAAGTCGGATGGAGAGTGGTTTGGTAGCCCGAATCGGTGAAGAAACTGTATTTGTCTTGTTCTGTCGTGATGTCCAGACTAAAAGTCAGTCACGATCGGGGTGGCGACTGCTCGTTCGACGTGGCGAGGTCGTTTGACGCAACAATTTGCAAGTGAGCCTGATATACTACAGATAAAACTAGTATTGTTATTCATGAAAAGTGTGCGAAGATCGGTTTTGAAGACGGCTTTATTCGAGCGGGAAGTTGCGTTCGTAGTCGAGGAAGATACGTAAAACTAAGGCCTCGCGTGCTTGTCTGGCAGATTTCCACAGCTGATTAATTCCGGCGTTCAGACTGCTAAGTACAATTTAAAGGGACGTCATCACAATAATTTGATACTTAATACATGATCCAATTGTTTTGCAAGAATTGGTCGTTTTAGCAACTAGATTCGACAGGGCGTGGTAATATTACTCGGCTGTAAATACGACTTCTTGAACAATATAAATTTAAATTAATTTCGTGAAACAGATCCTGAAGGCATAGGTACTAAACCAGTCTACACGGATGATGTGCTGGCGCCATCGAAGCCAACGGAAAGGGACACTAGCTGCTTTCTCAAAAGTGCTTCTAGACATGCATGCAGCCGACCTGTCTTGCGTACGCTTACTCCGAGCAGACAGACAAAGAATTTCTCAGCACGTGATAAAGAAAAGGCAGTTGTGTGCACGCTTGCAAGAAAGGCTCCTGTCCGCTGCCATTGTGAGCGATGCTGGCGCCGCGTAACCTTTCCTCCATATTGAGGTGGGCTAAAGCAACGCCCCCTTTATACAAGATGCCTGTCAGCGTGCTTAACAATGGGATCAAGGCGGACGCCTCAGCTGACCGCAGTTATCTGCTTTAGCCCAGTGTGGCGTACTTTGCTGTACTGACGCATGATGAGGATGGTGATGGTCATGCTTACCCAAAAAAGACGGGGACGAAGGTTGTGGAGACTCTGTGTAACGGCATCGCTTGGTGCTTAGACTTCGCATTTCTCGACTTCGACTTCAGCGTCAAACGCTCCAATGTACAACGTGCGTCGGAAGCCACCCGCGGCCTCGCAGGGAGAGGCTCTTCTTTTCACGCCGTCCTGACTGGCACCGTACACGTCTCTAAGTCGACGCCATGACTAGACTGGATTTCCTTGCCCATGACTGACACAGCATACATTTCCAAGTGGGACAACAACGAGGCGTTGCACCAACAGAAAGAGGGGTGGAAAACAAAGGGAACCGAAGGCGACGAAAAAGGTCGGGAACTGCCATTGCAAATATGTTTCAAAAGCCAGGGGTGGTCATAATGAAATAAGTTCACACTGGCTTAACACAACAACAAAAAAATACAACAACAACGTTTCGCCACCTATCCGAGTGGCATCATCAGTATGAACCGGCCCGGTGGTGGGGAGAGTCAAAACCAGTCGAATCTAACAAGTCCCCGTAAATATCCGGTAGGGGCCCCGGTTTGTGTTGCACACCTTGGGGTCAGGGCGGATAAGCCACGATTCCACGAACTTCCTCGGGCCCCAACGCTGCTCACGAGCCAAGGTCGCCGCATTGTCCAAGTCCAGTCGTCCAGCTGTGGTTGACGAGCTCAGACATACTTCTCGTGGCACGTGGTACGTCTCCAATGTACGTGACATGCGACGCCACGTACATTGTAAAAACCGGCATCCTCCGTTTGCCGGTTTCTCCAATGTACGTGGCGTCGCAGTCGACACAGATTACCTTGTACACCACACCTGTCTGGGCGTTAATGGGGGTAATGTCTTTCGGTTTAGAAAACGCGTTCGCCAAAGTGTACGCAGGCTTGAACACCGTCCGGATGCCCAAAGGAGTCAAAGCTCTTCTAATCGAGTCCGAGGTTCCCCGGACATATGGAATGCACACTATCGGCTTCCTTTTGCCTCCAATGTCTACTCGGCGCTGTTGCATGCGCTTACGCGTGTCACTTATGAAGGATCCTGGATAATTGCGCCTGCGCAAGGAAGTGGAGATCCTTGTCAGTTCTTGGGACCGGAGGTCATCGTTCGAAGACAACACAGCGCAACGCAACAGTGTCCGTACCACGGCGCGCTTGTGTTTCGCCGGGTGCCAGGGAATCAAAACACAAAACATTTTTTGCTGTCACACGGTTTACGGTACCTTTCAGTCTCTACGGCACCACCACTTACCCGGCGCACCAACACGTCCAAATACGGCAGCACATCGTCCCTCTCAGTTTCACACGTGAACTGGATAGCCGTATAAATACTATTCGGCACCAGGTGAAAAGCATGCAAGTCCACCTTTTTCAGGATTACGAAAGTGTCATCAACATACCGGCAGTACATTTTCAAGGGGAAAGACAATGAGTGCATGACCAACTTCTCCACATACTCCATTACCAAGTTGGCCACCGTAACGGACACCG